CGCTTCGGGGTCGGCGGATATTATACTATACTATATTAAAATTTGAAATCATATTGTACTAATATTATATCATATTATATGATACTATATTATATTATATTATAATATATTATATTATATTATATTATATTATAGTATAGTATAGTATACTATCTGAATCTGTCCGAGGGGTCTGAGTCGGAGTCGGAGTCTGAAAGCTCGGACGACGGAGACGGCCGGCTCCTGGACCACGCCCAGCAACGGCCTCATGCATCATTATCAGGGTTTAGGGTTTTTAGGGTTTGGGGACATCATGGGCTGTTTTGGTTTCAGGTTCGAGGGTTTTTGGGTTTGAGGGTGTGAGGGTTCTTGGATTTCACGTGATGGGGTTTTGGGTTTGGATTCAAGATGCTTTCAGGGTTTGGTTTTACAGATCCCCGTCTAACACCTTTCTTCCAGGCCCCAAGTGTTCTCCTGCTCAGGGAAAATGGTCCTGGACAGCTTCTGCAGGCTCTGACCTCCAAATGGCCTAGAGCTCAAGATCGTTCAAATCGTGTGATTTTGCGAAGCATTTTGTTAGAATGGCCCCTGCATTCAGGAAAAGCCATACCGAAAAGATGGTGGTGGGCGGCCTGATGTCGGATCCTCGTGGCTGTACGACGGCTCTGAGTCAGGTCCAGCTGATTCACTCTGGCGTAGATGTCAGCGAGCGGTTGCAAGAGCCGTACGCTCCACAGCCCCAGCAGTGTTCCACGCATGCATTCCGTAGTCCCATCTTAGTCTGAGGTGGGATCCTGGCTTCAACCATTTCAAGCTGTCGCCTCAACCTGCGCACCGTGTGAGAGGGCAGACCTCTGCTTTCTGAGAAGCGAGGCAGACGATCGGCGCTGAAGCGCTTCACTTTGCTGCGCGGCTTGGTTTGCTGCAGGCCGAGTAGAGCCTAGTTTCAAGCACTGCCAGCTCATACCATCAAACTTTTACAGGCATGCAACGCTTTATTGGAGAACAAGGCGGAGGTCGACTCACAGACCGATACAGGCAAGTTCATGTGTATGGCGCCAGATTCATATGGACAGCTTGAAGACGTGATCCTTGCAGATGCTGGCAGGAGTTACAGCTCTCATGGTAGCTGTCATGTTCAATCGGCTCGATGCGTGCCTCCTGGTTTGCTGGGCTTGACCCACTAGAGTCGCGCAAGTGACAAGCAGCTTCTGGATTGAAGGTTGCCAATCTCTTGCTGAATGCCAAGGCCCGTGCACCAGCAAATGTATCCTTTAATTTCATGGCTCTGTGGTCTTCGGACTGCAGTACCCGCTACTCATAGAAGCAGACAGGCGAGCGTCCTTCGCCAAGAAGGCAATGGGCTCACCGTGACAGACGTGGCCATCTTGGAGGTGGAACCTTCGATGCAGACCTTGGAAGATGAGCTTCCATGGCTTGCCAGGGCAACCCAAACATGGTTCAAGAGCTCCTCCTGCGGGAGCAGCAAGAGGATGAACAGACAGAGCAGGAGGTGGAGCCGGTGCGAAGCGGATGTTGCGCAGCCAGTGAGATTGCAGATCTCCGCGACAGGTGATGCAAGCTGCGATTGATGCAGGCGCAGACATCTCTCTGCTCCCAGCGATGGACGAGGTGTGCACGGCATTTGCTTCTCAAGGGAGGCCGGCTCATGACCATCTTATGACCTGCCCAGTCCCTGGCGTTGAAAGCCGACGACATCCTCATGAGCCTGGGGAAGCTGAGGGCTGAGCATTGTTTTGGCCGCTAAAGTTGCCGCTCTGTTGCCATTTTGGGCTGAATCTACAAGGTAACTCAATGACCAAGCCTTCCCTGAGTAGACATGGGCCGCACTGCCCATGGAGCTGTTAATGTCACGCATGGATCTGCTCATGCCACCACCTCGGCTGGAGAATTCCTCCGCCGAGAAGCTTGTTCCTGAGCTTGCAAAACATCTGTTGCTCCAGCTGAAGTTTGAGATGAGACACGTTGCTGGCAAACGTCTTGGCTCTTGAGGTAGCCGCGGAAAATTGATGAATTACCTTGCATGAAGCTTCAGCACTTGACCAAGACAGGGCCAGCAACAACATGAAGACACATGATTCAAAGAAGCGCACCAAGCACAGTAAAAACACACTTCACTACGCCTCTGCTTGTTTAGTGTTGGTCGCATGTGCGCACCTTGGAGTCTGGGAAATGGTGTTCTTTGTGCTCGCAACTTTTCAGATGTGAGTCAGGTCTCCTGCATGGAGGCTTTGCCATCTGCGCAGATGGTGTAGAGAGGTGCAGTGTAGCAACCTTTGATTTCAATTCGCTATTGAGGCATGCTTGCTCGTTGCAGGCATCTGCCTTTGCTGCTGCACAGGGACGGAGGACTCTCTGCTATTCATTTTGTGCCTGATGCTCACGCATGCTGTGCTCGACGTCCTCACGCGCTGCTCCGTACTTCATGGGACAGAAGGAGGCATCTTCCAAAGCTCCTCAGACTACAGAGCTCGACGCGATATGTCTGCAACCCAGCCGCTGTACGGGTGTTTATAGTACACGCTCTCGGTCTGGCCTTCAAGTACAGCCCGAATCATCTTCAAGCACAAGTATTGACTCCTGGGACGAGCTTTAGGTGTGGAACATGACAGCAATGGCTCCCCTAGTGATATGCATGTGCTCTCTATCGCAGACCTGCGTTCTTCAGGTATTGAAATGGCCTTGACTGATTTGACATGCCTTGCACGCCTTGCATGTCTTCATGCTGAAGCTGTCAGCCGGGGCTATGGCAGGGCTTGGCTGCCGGGAGTTTTTGGGCTATTCTTCTTGTATTTGCTTATCACTTGTTAGTCCATTTTTCATCTTTTTTTCACGTGTGCCGGCATGTCTGTTTCGGCAACTCTGCTTCCATAACTGCCTCCTGTCCTTCATCATGTTTTCAGTTAACTTCAAGTACACCTCTAAACCTACTCCCCAAACACTGTCCACCTATTCTCGGGAACGGCGCTTATTTCCCTTCGACCTTGATGGCGAACGCCGCCTCAGCACATTCGCCCGCCCCTATATCTCCATGCCGGGAAACTCCATCTTTGCCCATTGCGTTGGCATCCCCACATGCAAAACCTCAACGCCCCGAGTCCAAAAACCACAAATCTTCCAAACCGTACTCGACAAGCCCGGAAAACCAAAACCTAGATTCCGAAACGTGTAAGAGACAAGCCTTAAACACCCAATCCCGACAGCCGAAAAAGTAACAAATAAATTCCTAAAATCCACTATATACAAACCTTTCAAAGGTTCGTGGCTCTTCATCCCTTTCTGACGCAGAGCTGGTGCCGGGCGACGGCCGCAGTCAGGCCGTGCAGATGAAGCTCCCTTTACAGAGGCTATAGGGGAAAAAGGTGTGTGTGTATACATATATATATACATACGTATAATATGTTTATATAGATGTATGTATACATATGTACAGAGGTTTATAAACAGAAATGCAGCGATGCAGGTGTTGAAGCGATATATAGGGCTACATGAGGACATGTAACAACATGTAGGGATAGAGGGAAATGTGGGGTCGCATAAGACATGTAGGGACATAGGGGTTAAATCGGGTTATATATGTACATATATATATATACATATGTATTTACGCATGTATGTATATATGTACATGCATATATATATATGTGTATGTATGGAAATTGGGCTTTATATATATATATATGCACCCCTCCATGGATCTACCCGTTTCATGGCAATGAAACTGGAACGATTCGGAAGTAGGCCAGGGTGCTTGTGATCGAAACAACAGCAAACAAGAGCAAAATCCATGATTTCGATCATTGGAACTATTGATCTAGAAGCACAAAATGCTAAGACTTCGCCTCCGAGCAAGAGAGCTGGCGAGTTGTTTCAATAATTTATAGCTGTTAAAAGAGGGGGCCGTACGCCCGGACATCGAAAAACGTGGCGCGGACATCGAAAAACGTTGCGCGGACATCGAAAAACGACTTCGTGACATCTAAAGATGACATCGTAAAACGGCCATACAAGCATCGGAACTTCGGCAGGACTGTTCCGACATCGAAAGAACGACGCGACCACATCGAAAAATACCTTTGGAGCGGCCAGCAGCCGCCTTGCAAGGAAACATCTCAACCACCAAAGAACGACGCGAGCACATCGAAAAATACTTTTGGAGCGGCCCCGTCGTGCCGACGCGAGCACATCGAAAAATGCTTGCGGAGCAGCCCACAGCCGCCCTGCAGAGAAGCATCCTAAGTACGGAACTTACCGAGAAGAGCCTAAACCCAAAAAGGCACTCATCCCTACAAAGCCTTCCAAACCCCCTAAACCCCTGAGATAGCCCTAAACCCTAAAAACCCTAAACCCTAAAATCCCTAAACCCCAAACACCGTAAACCCTAAGGACCCCCTAAGCCCTAACAACCTACTAAACCCTAAACCCTAAAACCTTCAACCCTAAAAGCCAAAAACATTTGAAAAAACACCAAACCCTAAAACACTTTAAACCCTAAATAAACCCCAACCCTAAAACCTCTAACCCTCAAACACACCTAAACCCTAAAAACCGTAAACCCAAAAAAAACCTAAACACTGAAAACACCATAAACCCTAAATCCCCTAATCACCGTTTACCCTAAAAACCCTAAACCCCAAAAACTAAACACCCTAAACCCTAAAGACCCTAAACCCTGAAAACACCTTAAACACTAAACACAAAAAACAAACCTAAACCCTAAAAACACGCTAAACCCTAACAACCTCCTAAAACCTAAATCCTAAAACCCTAAACCCTAAAAACACCAAACACCAAAAAACTTCTAAACCGTACAAACCTTTAAACCCTGAATACACCCCAACCCTTAAAACCCCAAACCCTCAAACAACCCTAAACCCTACAAACCCTAAACCTCAAAAAAAACCTAAACCCTGAAAACAACCTAAACCCTAAACCCTAAACACCGTAAACCCTGAAAAGCCTAAACCCTAAGAACCCTAAACCCTAAAACCCTAAAACCCTAAAACCCTAAAACCCTAAACCATTAAAACCCCTTAAACCCTCAAACATCCCTAAACCCTAAAAACCCTAAACGCTAAAACACCCCTAGAACCTAAAATGCCATCAACCCTAACAACCCAAAACCTTTTAAAAAACACTAAACCTTAAAAACCCTAAACGCCAAACACCCTAAACCCTAAAAACCTTAAACCCTAAAAAGACCCTAAACCCTCAAACACCCACACGCCCTAAAACCGTAAACCCTAAAAAATACCTAAATCCTCAAACACGCCTAAACCCTGAAAACCCTAAACCTTAAAGACCCTAAACACTAAACGCCCTATACCCTTAAAAACCCTAAGCCTTAAAACAACCTTGAACCCTAAATAAACCCCAACATCCAAGACCCTTGCGCGCTAAAAACCCTAAACCCTAAAAACCTTGAACCCAAAAACAACTAAACCCTGAAAACAGCCTAAACCCTAAAAACACTAAGCACTAGAAACCCTAAACCCTGAAAACGCCCAAAAACCTAAAACCATAAACCCTGAAAACCCAAACCCTCAAAACACCCTAAACCCTAAAAGCTCCCTAAAGCCCAAAAGCCCCCTAAACCCTAAACACCATTAAACCGTCAAAACCCCCTAAACCTTCAAACACCCCTAAACCTTAAACACCTACATCCTAAGAACCACCTAAACCTTAAAAAACCCTAAACACCTAAAACCTTTGAACCCTTAACCCGAAGAAAAAAAAAACCTAAACCTTTAAACAATCCTGAACCTAGACGTGGCCACAATTGACCCACCTAAATAAGCCTTTTTGCCTGCCCAGGTCACATCCTCAGGGGGGGTAATAGCAAACATGTTTGACGCAGTTCTTGTACCTTATATGTAAGTCTACGCTTCTCGTTTTGACGTCAGGCATTTTCATGTGCGTGTTCTCTGGGTTTACGCAGTTCTTGTACCTTATATGTAATTCTATGCTTCTCGTTTTCACGTCAGGCATTTTCATGTGCTTGTTCTCTGGGCATGAGGGTTTCAGTTCTCTTTGCGCTGGCATCACGAAGGCAACTTCGAGTGCCTGGAGCAGAAAATCGGGAGTTTCTTGCAAACTAGAGGCTGAAAAATGGCATGCCCTAAGCCTTTAAGCTTACGTGTCAATGAATGCTGGCATGCACAGCAAAATCGGTAGGACGGAAACGGCCGCGCCAGGCCCTAAACCCTAAAAGCCCCCAAAACCCCCAAACCCTTGAACCCTAAAAGCCCCCAAACCCTAACAACCTTAAGCTCTAGAAGTTCTAAACCCTCAAAGCCCTTGAACCCTAGAAACCCTAAACCCTCAAAACCCTAAACCCTGAAAACCTGGAGCCCTAGAAGCACCCTAAACCGCAAAAACCCTAAACCCTAAGAGCCCCCTTACGCCCTAAAAATCCTAAGGCCGAAAAACAATAAACCCCAAAAACATAAAACCCTAAAAAAACGTTAAACCCTATGTAAACCCTAGCCTTAAAAGCCCTAAACCCTAAAAACCCTAACCCTAAAACCCCTTAAATCCTAAAAACCCTTAAATCCTAAAAACCCTAAACCCTAAAAACCCTGTGCGGATACTGGTATATCATTATGTCCCAC